AAAAAAAAATGAAAAATCAATACGCTTCAGTTGTATTCTTTTCATCTGCTTATGTCTGAAACGACAAGACGTAAGTTTGCTCTAATTTATTTATCGAATAAAATACTTTTTCAAAATAACAACAAAAATTAATGACGTACTGAATGACTCGAAACGGCTATTAGGAAGAAAACACACATCATACTAAGTATATTTTTTTACACATTCGTACAAAGTGCATACAATTAATTTTAGTAAAAATGTATATGTACTATTTTAATGATCATATGACTATGTATTGATTGCTATCGTATATTTTTATTTCACCAATATTTTTTTCTCTCCATTGATATTATGTGTTCACTAATCAGCAACTATTATTTTAATATCTTCGTTCTATTTTGTATCAATAGAATAATATTATTTAAAAGCTTAAGAATTGATTGATGACATAAAATTAAGACAATCCCTTTTGTAAAGTATATGTAAGTACACATAGACAGACAGAGAAGCAAAATTTATTTATTTAGTTACTAATCATTTTGATCAATAGATGTAGTTGAGAATAATTGATAATTTAAAATGATAGTATCATTACTATTTATGGGGATTTTTATACAAATTTATAGCGAAGATACATTTGATTGTACAGGTTATGAAGATGATTCATTTCATCCCATGTATAATGCTGATAATTGTCGATATTATTGGCATTGTATATATGTTGATACAGTTTATATGCGAGCCATAAAACGCAGTTGTCCAGCTGGAACTGAGTTTAATAATGAATTAAAAGAATGTGAAATACCGAGTTCAGTAAGTATTCATCTATTTTATCGAATTTTAAAACGAATAATTGTAGGTGAACTGTATAAAACATAATTTCTCTTATATACCACAAAAAAAATCGATAACAACACAGGAAACTCTCATTGTTGATACTGATATAACAACAATCACAATCTCACAATCATTTCAAGTATTACCCAACACTATATCTCCATTACCTTCCATATTGTTAATTGAACAAGTCAGTTATATAAAATAATTTATTTTCTCTTCAATATATTTTTTAGTTTTTAAAAAACTTAATAGCTCGACAACAAAAGTCTACAACCAATGAAATTTCTCAATCGACTCTAGTTCCGACAACAACAACATCAGAATATCCACGAAAACATCTTAATCGTCATCGTAATAATCTCATATTAAATATTTTAACAAGTCATGAACATAAAATTCGACGATTTTCGATTAATCAAACAAATGGTATACTTATTCATTGCAATGAAATTCGACGTCGTCGATTACGTGAATTAATTTTTCGTACAACAACAACAACAATAAAACTTCCTACTTCTTCATCAAAAATTTGTTATAATAATAATAAAAGATTTTTTATAATATTTATAACTTTTTTCTTATTTTTACAAAAATAAATGATTTAAAAAAGAAAATTGTTTATATAGTTTGTTTTCTTTTACGCGATTATTGTCGAATGTGGACAATTGAATCTAAAATAATATTAGAGAGAAAAAAAACGAATAAAATAAATTTCAAATAAAAATTTGATTTCAAACTATTTGTGAATGAAAACAAAACATCAGTGAATAACAAAAAAAAAACATGATGCATGCTCAAACCTACAATATTATACTCGAACTTGATTACCCTGAGGATGATGTGGACAAGTTAAACCTTCTGACCTGTTTGATTTGAAATTTGTATTCAATTAGTAATTAAAAATTCTATTTTTTTTATTTTCAGAAATTTTTTTCTTACCCACTCAAATCCCATACATGACGTTTAATAAGAAGTTTCTCACATATTTCACAAGGAAACTTATGTTGAGCACGTGTATAACCTAATTTTCGTGGTACCGATAAAGAACGAGTTGTTGGCTGTTTATCATAGCCTAACATTGATGGATTAAGAACATCTTGTACAATTTTCATAGCCGATGCTCGTTCTTTTATATAAAATAATTTAGAAAGAAAATAAACGAAAAAAATATTTTTTTTCTCACCTTTATTTGTGGCATTTCGAATCCAAACACCTAAATTATCGCCTTGTACTACTTGACGCAATGGATTGTTCATTTCTGTTGATTGCTGTTGATTTTGATAAGTAGCCTTCATATATAAAGATAGAAAAGAAACCATATATAAATATTTCTTTTTTTTTCTCTAACGTTTTTGTTGACTTACAAATAAAACGTTTTTATTGTCAGGTAATTTTGCTGGGAGACGATAAACAAGACTATCAGGTCTTCGTCCACCATTCATTCGTAAATTTTTTTCATATTCATTTTGTGCTGCATTCGATATTTCAAGTGCATTAGCATATTCATTAGGTAAATTATCACAATTAACAATTTGGATATAATTCGATACTGATTCATTGTTAGGTGTTCTGGGTTTTCTTTCTTCTTGTGCAGTCCATACATCACTTTTAGGTTGTTGTTGTTGTGGTGTATATGGTTTGTTTTTTAATTCAGGTGGTGTTATTGGTTTTGGAGAATCTTTTGTACGATCAGGACATGTTTGTGGACGTAATGGATAATTATCTAATGTTGGATGATATCGATATTTATCAAGACGATAACGTGCAGCTCGTAAATCATCAGGTGTTTCACGTTTTTCAAAAGTAAGAAAATTATGTTGATTATCGTTTGTTTGTTGTTTTTGAATTGAAGCCGATGCTGATCGAGTAATTGGCTGAATTGTTTGTTGTGTTTGTTCTACTATATTCGATGTTGTTGAAGGTCGAGCAAGAGTAGTTGGCACATTTAATTGTCCTAAACGTTGTTTGATATCAATTATTTTTTGAGGTGTTTTAGGATTTAGAAAAGTAAGCCAATGTCGTGAATTATCATTATCCGCATCAACCGGACGTTTTCCTTTTTCTTTCTCTTTTTCTTTTTCTTCTTTTACCGGTGGAGAATTGTTAACTTCTGGTGTTGATGAAGTTTGTTCTATTAATAGAAATTTGAAACTAATTTTTATTATGTAACAAAAAAAGAAGAAGTTATTCACCTTGAATTGCTGCTGGAGCAGTTGGTGGACGTTGTAATACTTGTGTACAACAATTCGAATCCTAGATAAGAATAATTTATATTACGAAATATTATATGAAATATCTAACCACATAAGCTGTCGCCGGTCGTTTTTCGTTTTCAACAATAAAAACTGGTGTTGTTGTTGGTAAATAACGAGAGGTTTTTGGTTGTTCTTGTTTATTTTCACATTTTTTTACTACGATAACTCGATTAATGGCTTGCTCTTCATTTGTTGGTACTGGTGATGAACGTTGATTAGCTTGCTTTTGTTTTCGTAGTTGTCGTTGAAATCGTTGACCATACGTTGAAGTTAATTTACTTTTATTTTTTGATCCATACTTTCTCCACTTATAATGATCGGTATATGATGTACATGATTGTTTCCAACCAAGTGGATCATGTAATAAAGGTCGAAAAACGACAGACGACATAATCTTAATTTTATAAAAAGAAATGAAAAAGGGGTTGAAACTATTTTAGTAGAAAAAAATGAACAAGACAGACAGACAGATGAAAAAAAAGAGAAAAAAAATGAATGATTTGTATGTACACATGTTGGTTACCAATGATGATTGTCGTTATGGATTGGTCGGATGACAAAACTTCTCTCACTACCATTACTTTCTTCCCTATTGCTCCTTGTTCTTTTCTGTTAATTGAAGCAGAATTACAATAACAGCAACAGCGATAGCAATAACATTAAAAGTAAACAAAAAATGCGCGACTTGAAAGTAGATTTCTTTTTTTTATAAATTAAAAATTTATTTGTTGACAAGCCACCAATGCTACCGTTTTCATTATAATAAACAATAGCAACAAGCCAAAAATCAGATTTTTCTTTTTACATCTACATCTCATTATGTCTATGTAGATTAGCTTTTTTTTGAATATTAATACCATAAAAACTTAGTAGTCTTCTTTATAATAAATAACGTTATAAAATTTATTAAATTCATCAATAATAAAACTATATGATATCTCTAAGACACACATTCAAAGTTGAGTTTCGTCATCGAATTCAATATTAATAACGTAATAATAAGGAAATGATTCTTAATCTATTTAATATTCTTATTTCCTTTCGTTATAATTTCATAACACTTACACATATAGGATTTAATGCACTGTTCGATAATGAAACATCTAAAGAATGCTACTTATTGTTATTTATCAAGTGCTCTCAACAGCACCTACCTACATTAGTTGATATAGAAGCATTTATTTCAAACTCTACTAGTGACTCAATTTACATATCCAGAAAAATTCTATCTACGATTTAATACTGATAATAGCACTTTTGAAATTGTGTCACTTAATAGAAAGGAAACAGTTCATATGAATATTTCAATGTCAATTCTATGAGCCATAGACTTCCATCATGTGACAAAAGTTATTTTAATTTTAGAAAACAGTCTGTTGATCTTGATTAGTTAATTTTGCATCTTTCAGAAATTGAATATACATACCTGCATTAACTAGTACTTGAAATTTCAAGAGAATAAATATTAATAAGTTATTAATAAAAAATATTTTTTTAGTTGTGTAGACTTTAATTTTTAATAAAGAAATTTTACTCTCGATCAACAGGGAAGGCTTTCAGATATTCAAGCCGCTTATAATCCATCTTTTGGTCATAGATAGGTCTAATAATGCCTAAAATATTTCTAAAGTTTCAGTCAAACTAAATATCATTGAGTCTATCTATGGGCAAAATTTGTTTATCTGATTGTTCTCAAAAATTAAGAAAAGCAAGAATAAATCCTTTTGAGGTTCACTGATGGTCAAAAACTGGATTCTAAACATCCGGGAACCTTCTCTCATCAGAATGAAACAGTACGAATATTCTTCCATCAATTAAGTCTTTAAATAATTTATTTTTTAAATATGTAAATAAAACATAAAAATAACAATAGAATTTATATTTAACATGAGATTCTATGCCATTCATGAATATTTCTATAATAACTATGTTCTTGATATTCTTGCATATTTAATCTCATACATAATTCACACATACGAATTGGTTCAAGAACATTGATATCAAAAAATGCTTCATATTGATTTAACCATTGAAAATATTTTCTATAAAGAAAATAATCATTGGAAATTCTATGTAAATAACTTGCAAGTACTTTAGCCGATGGAAAATCATCAACATGAATAAATGCTGATTGTGGTATACCTAAATCTAAATAAGATTGTTTTGATGGTCCTAAAACAATAGGTATCATTCCATAATAAAGTGCACGCCAAAATTTTTCTGTTATATAATCTTTACATGTTTGAGATTCAAATGATAAATAAAATAATGCTAAATAAGATTGTTCACCTTCACATTGTTTATTTTTATCACATTTATTTTCTACACAAGATCCAAATGCTTTAATTGGATAGTAATTTTTTAATTCGGTATAATATTTTAGACGACGTTTAGGACCACAATTTGAAACATACCAAAGAGCATGTTTATGACGATAACGATAATTAAATAAAATACGATTTTCAATAGTCATGTCAGGTATAGGAATATTTCGATTAATAAATAATTGAAGAAAATTTGAATTATTATATAGATTATCATTCGAAAAAAATTTATTTTTATCTTGTGGTATTAAAACACCATAAGTACCAATTGAAACTTCGGAATCTTGTCGATAACTTAATGTCCAATTAAAATTATATTGATTTAAATGACTTATTGAACGATTTGCTTCATCAATCCATAATATCCATATATCTGTATATGAACGATGTTGAAGTTTTCGATGCATTTCAGTTTCATTCATATCAACATGATGAAAGACACTTGCTCGACGAATATTTTTATCATTCATAGATGGTTTCTCACAACTCCATTGACAATTTGAATACGGACATTGTGGATGAAATACACGAGATGATGAACAAAATTTTGGACGTTCAAATACCTAAATATCATAGATAATTGGAATAAAAGTTAAAGTGTCTCAAAACAAAGGATAGGTGGGGTGTGGATACTATAGATAGGACGCACCCACATCCACCCTAGTTCTTAATAGAACTGAATACAGTTTCTATTGTATGTATAGTCCTAATCTCTCGTAAATTTTTTACCAATCGAAAATCTTAGTTCTTTAGTTAACTAAGTAATTAGTAAATTGCAGTTATAATCTTTAGTTTTCTATAATACTTCATTCATTCTACTGATTATATAGAAGTCTGTGCGATCAATTTAGTCTCGCCTAAATAAATAAACTAACGACGAAACATATTTAGGTGTTCAAGAAAGTTTAGATCCCATATTTTGATGGTAAGTAGATCCTGATGAGGTATGAAAAACCTCAAAAGGATTCATCCCTTCGTACCCGAGTTATGATCGTTTTACTCTATTTTTGGCTAACTGTCAGGTATTTCAAAAAAAATCTAATAACGCATTTTTGACCTGAAATTTTGTCCATAGATAGTCCTACACGAGATAATGAATTTCCAAGGCAGATCAGTTTTTTTCGAATGGTTCATAAAATACAGGATTTTTCAAAATTCGATTATCTCGTGAAGGAAATATTCACTCAAGCTGGTACTTGTAGAACAATCTAGTATCGATGAGCAAAGTTTCAGGTCAAAAATAGGTTATCAGAATTTTTTCGAAATACCTGGCAGTTAGCCAAAAACAGAGTAAAATGTCATAACTCAGGAACAAAAGCACGAGGGGATGAATCCTTTTGAGGTTTCTTATACCCTATCGGGATCTACTTACTATCTAAATATGTTCCCTCGTAAGCATCTCAAATTAGTTCTGCTTAAATTTACACTATCGCAAACAACTGTAGATGCATTCAGATAATATCGATTTATTTCAGAGAGACATGTGTCAGTTGATATCAGCTATTTTCTTCTTGATTAAAAGTCATTATTTAAAAAAAAATTCTTGCATAAAAATTTTAATTTGATAAGATTCCAACTTACTAGAGTTTCTTCAAATACTTCATAAATTTCTTGAGAAACATTTGGTTGTCTATCTTTAAATCGATATTTATATGTCGTTTCAATATTTTTTTCATAAACTTTATTTAATTTTCTTGTGTAACTATCAAAAAATATATTTGTCCAATTAAATTCTTTAATTGTATTTTGTTTTTTAATCAATTCAATTTTTTTAATTCGTTGTTCATCTGTTAAATCTTTATCTTCATTTAATAAATTTTTCCAAAAATATTTTTCTAATCTATATTCTTTATTCCATATATTAATATCTTGTAAATGAATATTTTCATTTTTAAGAAATGTAATAATTTGAAAAAATAATATAATAATTAATGAAATAATACAACTACGTATAATTATAAAACGTATACGAAACGAACGAATAAGCATATCGTATTTTTATAATAACAATATTACATAACTTATTTTTTTGTCATAAATCATGACTATTCTAAAAATAGAAAAGAAAAATACGAAAAGTGCATTTTTATTAATCGGATAAGAGTGTAAAAAATATGGATTAAGCTATTTACTTACTCGAGTTATATTTTTTTTGTCGGACGTATTTGTATTTTATATTTCGTTTTCATTCAAGTGTATAAAACTCAATATGTTATTCTTCATTCTGCGCATGAGCGGATACGATATAAGGTAAAATTGTCTTGTCCTTTTGCATATATATGTTTTAACTATTATGAATATACATGATAGAGAAAGAAGGCGTGTTGAATACGTTAAAATAACTATTTATATTTACATTCCTCTGCATCTGTTCCAAGAATAATATGAATAGAAATATATTAATAAAGGTTTAGTTGATCAATGTCGTTAGAATCGATAGTTATATTCTTTGTTCTTTGATATAGATACTCGAGTTAATAGAAGACAATAGAAAATAACATACTATTGGCTCTCTCGAACAATCCTGCTTTTTTTTTTTCTTCTTCTGCTCCTCTTTGTCATTGATTTTGCTTGTCCTTTATGCAAATATAAATGATGACATATAGATGCAGATATACCTAAAGTATCACTTATGTATAGAACAATTTTTTCTCATTTATTTTAATGAAAAAGTTTAGTGTCATATGAAAGAAGAGAAAATTTTCTATTACCCAATAAAATACCATTAGTATTAATTGTTCAAATAATATCAATCAAAATTATCATAGACAAATTGTTCTTTGTTTCTTATTGATTACATTTGGATTCTTGTCGATTTGTCAGTTTCATTTATATTATCTATAAATAAAAAAAAATCTTTTTTTGCATTTTTTTTTTGTTCTATTTATTAAATAGCTCATACTTGTAATTCATATATATTACAATGGTTCTTATATTTATAAAGTATGAACAAACATTTTTCACACGTAAAATCATCAATGCAAATCTAATTTGACATTTTTTTTACTACAATAATAAAAACGCATTCTTCTGCAACATTAGATTAATGCCCATGGATATCAAAATGGATTTTTCTGTGTAACCGTTACATCAATACTGAACAATTTATCATATAGTCATACTTATTTTTCTAATATGTTATTTGAAACAATGGAAAGGAAGTATGCTATAGTCAAAATGTAGTAATTTTACTTGAAGCGAAATATTTTTTTCTTGTAGAAATTCAATTATTTTATATATGTCATTTAATATAATCTAATAATTTTCCTTTTACTAATGAAAAATTTTTTTACATAAAAATTTAATATTATTAGAAAAGCTAGAAACTTTTCTAGTAACGATTCATTAAATAGTAGGACAATATGTGTTTATAGCATGCACATACTCTTTTCAGCTTGATCTATTCTTATAAACACAAAGAATATATATGATGATGTCACATATGGTTTTGTCAATAATATAGTATAAAATCCTATTAGTACACAGATAGAAAAATTCTACTCTGTCATATATATGTATATGTCAATCGACTTATTGGCATAGCTGGAGTTGTTATTGTTTATATTTTAATGTTGAATGCTTGTTAATAGACTCGTCTGCTAAGCGTAGACTTAAATACTACTCTTACGTTTGATATAATTTGAGTGTTATAATACATATAAAAGTTTATAATTAGATACTAAATATTGAGTATTGAAATAACTTAAGGCTTGATGATCTAATGGTATGATTCGTGAGGTTTCAGTTTCGATCACCGGTCACGCACATTTCTCGTTTTGATAGATCATTGTAGATATCAACTATTTGTACTTACTATGAGATGTTCAGTTTTATACATGTGAAAAAGAGTAATAAAAACTTAGTAAATTGTTACCATCGACAGTAAGTATTACATCTACTTTATTTTATGTGCTACAATGACCATGCCAATCATATTCACATCGTAGATGTCTATGCTAATTTAATTATCGTGTACAACTCACCAGATGATTAATATCTGAATATTCTATATATCAATAATAATTAATAAAAATTTTTGCTTCTGTTCACACGCTTCTTCTATCACATTTATTGATTAATAGTTCATGATTAGTTAGTACAACAGTCATTATCAATTGTATTCAAATACATATGAATATTATCTATGATATAACTAATTTACAATAGCCTACTGATAATGATAAACAGATCGGTTTGATAAATTAGAAAATTGAAATTTTAGTGTAATGATTTAACCCTTTCAGGACTAGTTTTGCTTTCACGATCAGTGTATTATTCTTAAACTATCTTTTTAACCGCGACTCAAAAAAAGCCTGGACGTCCCTCCAGGGTAGGTGGTACATATGTTGTACCACGGTCCTGAAAGGGTTAAACAACATTTAAAGTTTTATACAATACAAGCTTTTAAAACGTCACGATTCCTTAGATTAATCTGTGTTTTGTAGCTACATTCATTTTTTCGATCGAACATTTCAAACAACTTCATTTATTCATCAATACAATGCTATTTTTCAGGAACTTTAACATTCACATGTTATACGAGCTCATTACTCAAAATTCTATACATATCCATGTAAATCTACTATCATCAAAGCATCTTTTTATTTACTATGTTCTTGACCTTTTTTTTTATATCATCATCATCATAGTAGTAAATCTCTTTTTTTAATCATATGTACCTTTCAATTGTCCTTGATAATTAGTTGAACAAATAAGATCAAAGAAATAATCAATACCGAATCATATTGAAAATATGCTCCGCCTGATTATTGTTCGATTCAAGCAGATGCGAAGCAAAAAAATTGATTATTTTTCTCTTCGTATCACTTTATCAAAGACAAAGACTTAAATCATACCGCTATACACAGACGATGTCAAGTTCACTTTACTTTACTACAGACAACAAAGAACGAACGTAAAATGTTCTGATAAGTTAAACCTCTCATAAATTAATTCAAACGTATGGAAAGAAAAGGTATTCTTTTATCTATACTTAAAAAATTTCAAGAATGTCTTTTAAACAAAAAGAAAGATAGAGGTTTAAAATATTTGTCTTTTTCACATGCTGTTCACATTAATGAGCGTGACACAAAAGAATTCTCTTCTTTTTTTTTTTTTGTTGCCTATATGTATAATCGAATTATGAATCTATCATTATTATTATCAACGGGACATGTCAATGAAACTATATATTTTTGTTTAGTATTCATGTGGAACGTGAATAGAAATAAGGATGAGTATTGACAATGAATCACGCGATTAAAATTCACACTTAAGCTTATCAAAACTAATGACATAAAGGTGAATCATCAAATAACTTGAACAGAAAAAATATGAGGACAATGTGTTATGCAGAGAGAAAAAAAAAACAAAAGGACATCCTTTAAGAATCGTTTCATGTCATCTATTCAAATCTAAAACGAAAGAATATATGTACTCATGACATATATTTATATGCAAATGTAACCGTAATAGAAATAAAACAAACGGGATGTTTATGTGTCATAAACGTGATCCATGCGATTATTTTTCGCTTTATATGTGTATGTGTAGGTGATAGTACGATGTGACGAACGAATAAAATAAAAATTCAACCAATCAGTTTGTTCTCTTTTCGCGTTTTTTCTTTTTCTTCTTCGCTCACCTCTCTCTCTCTCTATTCATCGAATCTTTCAGTATACATACATATACATAAGCACACACTCATTCATCTACACGATCGTGAATATTCATTATAGACCTTTCTACATTAACCGGTAAAATGACTCGAAGTTCGTCGTCAAGAATGGAATCAAACAAAAAAACGAAAACAGATTTACAAAAAATTGAATTAAAAAAATTAAAATCAATTCTACCAACATTAAAACAAAAACCAACATCAACACCCATTGAAATTGTACTAGAAACAATTCGTTATATTCGTCAATTAGAAGATCAAATAGTTGATCGATTCCAAATGGATGCATCATCTCTATCAGGTATGAAGAAAAAAAGAAAATTTTTATTTCATATCTATATATATATGATTTTATTTAGTTCCTTTCACTACTCGAACATCATTATCCGATATGTCAATAGATTCATCATTACTACAAGATATTTCCAATACAGACTGATCATTTTACATGTCGAAATTTAATATCATTGTCATTGACTAAAGTTTATTTATTCAGTACACACATTTATGTATATAAAAATTTTTTTTTCAATGATTCTTCAATAATACTTCTATGACATAATCTACAGGTGTAATGAAATGGAAGAGAGAAAGAGGCGGAACGAAATGACAATCAATCTTATAGGACAAACACTTCGATTAGATAATCATCATCTCTACACCTGGTCTCAAACATTCACTTATTTTTCTAAACAAGAAAAAAAAAATCGTCTTTCTATATGCTTGAGGCATTTCTTTTTTTCTTCCAAACAATGAATTGTCTCTATATAGTACTGTTATCGTTCCGTTAATTTAAAATTTAGTCGATATTTGTTTATGCTAAATAGATACAATTGTATTTAAATGATGTTGACTTAACAAGGGAAAAGCTATCATATACATTGTTGACCAAAGGTGAATCAATAAATAGAAGAAGAAAAAGTTCAACAAGCATTCGTTATTTTATTTTTTTGATGTGTTAAGACTTTTTTCAACATTCTAATTTTATTACCACAACGCGTATGCTGAGAAAAACAATAGACTTTGAACGCTCCGACTATTACACAAGCAAAAAGTGATGATTGTCACCTTATGTGATTTAGATCTTGTCTTAGATTGATGATCAGTCAAGCGATCTGTTGACACATTCTTTGATCGTTTCAATAAAAAAAAGAAAAAGAAAAAAACTCTTGTGTGAGAAACAAACTAAATCATTTATTCAATGAGTTTTCATATGATAATGTTTATAACACTTTACTACAAAAGAAATAATAATACTGATCATTCTTATTTTCCCATACTATCATTAAAATCGATCACTCACAGTAGGTGTAACTAGTTGACAACAGAAAAAGAGAATGAATGATATACTATATGAGATTTAATCATACGATACATATCATTGTTTAATGCTTATCCTATATTTCGTCGAATTTTTCTAAACAATACATAGCTAGTTTGATGTTAAAAACATTGTAATTGAAAATTCTCCTGAAGGAGTAGTCGATTTCTAAATTAATAGATACGTAGACATACAAATTCTTGTCTGGAGGCTATTTTTCCCTTTTTGATCATATGTTGTGTTATCATTTAAATTTTTTTTCTTCTATTGTCTTATTCCTTCTATCGACGTCACCATCTATTCTTTCATGTTGTCTTTTCTAATAGAGATGCTTACTTTCTATTCTTAATATTACATTTAAATAGAAATATTGTACTAGTATATATCGATGAAAAGGTCATCGTTCAATTAATGTTTATGTAGACACTTTTAAAATGCATTTTATATTTTTATTTATAAGAAAAATAAAACAGTTGACTATCGAAAATATATGAAAAGCTGTAGAATTTTTCTTTTTAATTAAATTTGATTAAAATGATTATAAGAAAATAAGAAATTTTATGACAAGGTCGTATAACGATGCGTTGAAGCGAATCATTGTAAATGTTTGTATAAACATACGTAGCAAATAAATTCATACAATATCTAATTAAAAAAATATAGTCGTACAATGTTCCTGTTAGTTATTGATCCATCTCATACATGATAATTATACGGTTCGATTTGCTTTTAGCACATAACTGAGATATATTAATTGTACTGTAATTTATATTTATTATATATGTATATTCGATACTATACCATGTGGATGATATGACGAGATAACTCGACGAGACTTTACACATTTATGGAAATCATATGGTCAATTGAAGTGTTGATGAATGTTAATTGTAGAATAAAAAAAAGTCTGATTAATTGGTATATCAGACATTAGTTTTTTTTCGAAACTGGAAATTTATATTGAATGCTATTTAAAAAAATTCTTGGTGTCTAAATACAAGAAAATATTGTGACAGCCATGACATTTAAATAGATGATAGAAGTGATTTGTTCAGTATACGTTCTATTGTCACCGAATGTGATATACTATGTTCCTTGACATAGAGTATGGATCATTAGCTAATCATTGATGGAACTGTGACTTACATATAATCGTTCTGTATAATGAACTTCTGCAGATAGTGTTTCCAATGCACTAAATAAAATAATGCTAGTATCGCCTCCGAAATCGATTATAAACTGTTAATAATTTAAGAGAAATTATTAATCGGTCAGTAAAATAACTGAAATGGTCAGTAAAAACTATGAAAATGAGCAGTAAAATTATTAAGTAGTCAGTATTTAGATTATCACTCTTGTAAACAGAAGACTAGCAAAAATCTGATTTTAATCGATCAGAATAGGACAATGTTAATGAATTCCAGTATTTTTCCCTTTTTAAATAAATGTCTACTCATTTTTTGAGATAAGGAGTCCAAAGAGATATCGAGTACCTCAATTCTCAACACAAATCTCAGAAAAACGTATTTTCTGATCACCGGTACTAAAGTTCATTTTTATAAAATTACTTTATTTTAATTGCTAGTTTAATTGAAAACATAGTGAAAATCAAAATCTCTTTACCCTCTTTTTGAATAAGTGATAATCGGAATACTGATCAACTAAGCTTTTTACTGCTCATTTTCATAGTTTTTACTGACCGAGTAAATGATAGCCATAATTTAACTGACACATAGCTTTAAAAAAGATTGCTATTGTTGTATTTGATATCCTTCCGCCTCTTTATGTCTTTTTTCGACTCGATATTCGTTATCCGATATAATGCTTTGATAAGCGATATAAATATTGATACGTTTAGTCGAATACCAATCTTAAAAATATCAGATAGTATGATGTCCAAAACTTGTATGAATATTGAATCTTGCCGATTACCATTACATTTAAAAGTATAAAGATGAAGTGTATTCACATAAAAATTATTTAGATATTGTCCGATCAATTGTTTCTATTCAATAAAATCTTCAACGATTTTATGAATAAAAAATATTTCAAAGAATTTCAATTGAATACTTTACAAAAAGAGTTTTCTAACAAAATTAACTACAACAGTGTATTATAATACCGTCACAGCGTAGTTTTAATATAAATTAGTGACATGCCTATGTCTACCCAATAACTTTTTAATAGCAACTCGTCGTCCTTAATATGTACCAGTATACAATATATTTTGCCAAATAATATCTAACATAGTTCTAATAAAATGTGAATTTCGGTTAATACTACATTTATAACCAGATTCAAATTTCGAATTATTATATAACAAATACTGTTTGTCTAACGGATCGAATATAAAAAACTACTTTGGTTTAATTGAAAGAATATTTTGAAATAAATGAATTACTAAAAACTTTGATGATATTTCGTTAATCCACGAAAGATTTAAATTTGCTTTATTTGTATTCGATGATGAGCAAGATTATATTCTAGTTTGGTTCGAGTGAATAGTAGTATTAATATCTGGCGATTATATTAGAAATTTTCAGGGCTGTCGTGGACAGAAGGATGATCCTCCAAAGTTTAAGTCTCGATTGAATATTCTGATCTGGACTATAGTGGACCATTGACTACGTAGGCAGGGATGATCCGTCCTCCCCAAAACCTGAGCCTTGGATGAATATTCTGCCTTCTCCTTTCCCATCCTAAAATGTTCGTGAAAGCGCTGGGGATTTCTTTTGCTACCATGAAAATTAGAGATTTAAAAAACAATCAATATTCGAGCAAAACACAATACGACATCTATCAACAATCTATACGAAACAATGATATGCTATAAGTTACATTTTCCTTATTAAGAGTAATATTGATAGTTGATTATTGCCGATTTAAATCTATAAAATTTTTCTATACCTTTAATAATGATGATTATTTCAATATATATATTTTTTTCCGATGAAAGACAATTATTCTTTATGAATATTATTTATCTCAATATAAAGTTACTGTAATAAACTTTCAATATGATATTTTAATGTATTTGGACGCCATTTCGATGGTTCATCATTTGTAGAAAAATTGCATATTGATGGATCGGTTTTAAAATGTTGTTCATTATTTAATGTAAAAGAAGACATTCGAATAAGTGGTGATAATTGATGACATAATAAATTAGCTGAAGTTTGTACTGTTGCCTCGTCTAAATAATCGAAAACAAAAATAAAAAAAACATGTATTTTAAAATAGTTTTCATTACCTGTCGTTTTAGTGGTAACCATCATTGAGTCATCTTTTGAACTTGAATCATCATCGTCAACATCATCATCGTCACTTGTATGGGCATCAGTTACAACTGTTGTTCGTTTTTTCGATGCATCAACAAGTATTTTTTGTTTTTTTTTCTGTATTTAGCTCGTCGATTTTTAAACCATACCTAAATTTAATGTGTTGATAGTTTTTATTTTACAATAATTTTTTTAGAAAATATTTTACTTGTACACGAGCTTCAGGTAAATTTGTATAGAGAGCAAGTTTTTCTCGCATAACAACATCAGGATAATGAGTTTTAACAAAACATCTTTCTAATGCATGTAATTGTTGGCTGGTAAAAGCAGTACGAGATCGACGTTGTTTACGTGGATGACGAGAATCAAGAAGAAATTCTAGAAATTTAATTTTATTGTTGTAATATAAACAATAAAAATTTGATTTTTCATTATATATCTTACCTGTAAATCGATCGGGTGATCCATGAAAAAATGGAAATGGTGGCATCATACTAGTACTAATCGAAGGCATAAATGGATGAACAAAAGATGATAATGATGAATGATAAAGTGATGATGATGGGATAGAATAGTTTGATGTATAAGGATGCATGTCTTCTGTCTTTCGATTTATTGTACTGAATAAAAGTCAATCACTATTCGACTGACTGATCTTCTCCTTGTACGTGTATGTGTTCGTTCTTTTTGTTTTCTCTCTTCTAATTCTTTACTATAAATCCGTTGTGCAATTAAAATTATTCGATAACATTTTCTCGGATCTCGATGATGCGCCGAACGTGCCGTCATTTATATCATGTCACTCACATATATTGTCTTCTTCTTTTCTCTTTCTAATCATCAATTGACCATACTACTTGAAAATAAATAATGAACAATAACAACTAAACATCCTCTTGATTATGTTGTAATTATTACATAACTGATTTTTTCTTTCTCTCTCTCCCTCCCTATATGAATGACAAGCACGTGTGACAAGAGGCTCAATTCTTTCTGTTTCTTTTTTGACAGTTGACAATTATGCGTGCTTATGTAGAATTCTTTATTTTTTTATTCTTTGCTATTATTGTTGTATGCAATTAATCCAGGAGGAGAAAGGATATATGTCCTCTCTATTATCGATAATCCTTAAGTGTTGTTTGACACGTTTTGTCAATAGAAAAGCGAGAGATTGTTTTGACTTATTGAGATATATGTATATATAAGACATGTACAAGAGATAGAAGATTTTCATTTATGAATAGAGTATGAGAAAAAGCTCTTTTTTTTTGAAAATGTTTGGATCTAGGTCACAAACATTTGATTTAACACGTAAGCATTTAGAATGAAAAGTATCTAAATCGAACACGAAAAGATAATTCTATAGTAATTGGTATATTCTTATGATCTTTCGTTTCTTTTTCTTTTCATACATGTTCTATTCAAAGTCGGTGATATTTAATATAATCATTTAAATACTCAGTTTGAAAACGATATAAAAAAAAGGATTCTTAACTAAATAAAATTAATCAGTTGAACATATAACTATATTTGTAATAAAATAAAGAATAACTAACAATCAACATACTTCAAATAATTGTATAATAAGTCAATCAGCATAAATCATATCTTTTTTTATGCTATTCTACTACTACATATCCATTGAAACAAAATCTTAAGAGAAGAAAATGTTCTATTCTTCTTATATATTTATTTCTAAAATAAAATATATTCGCTTTCCGAATGAATATTGATTCAATAATGGCTTTTTTTCTTCTTCCAATTAAATCTAATAATTTATTTGTATCTTTTTTTTTTCTACATCCACTTATATAATCAAGTCTTTTTTTTTGGTAAAGCATTGTTCGTTCATTGAAAAATATCATTAATTTCGTATACTAAACTAAACAACGAGTGCAACAATCATCTATATTCATTGAGTATCATACATATTTCCTGTTCTCTTGCTCGTTTTTTTCCCGTTCTCTTCATTATTCGTTCTCGGAACGTACAATGTATACTTGTCCCATTATCATCATCATTATTCTTCAATGAATAGCCCTACAATAACATTCTTGTCTTTTTCGTCATCTATTCTTACTGATTTGCTTCTAGACAAACTTATTCGAATTGAGTTCATAAATCACTTTGCATTTCCGGATTGTCTATACAATGAACAACATTTTGATAATCAAGTACCGGAAACTATCTCTCATCTATTGAAATAAATGTAGAGAATCAAGAAAGCGAAGAAGAAGAAGAAGGAAAAATCCTCTCATTGGATAATCAATTGATTTTTTGAGACTATGATTGGCTAATGTTTATATTAATCATAAGAGGAGAAGAAAAAAAAACGACGATTCTAGGAATCAGACTTGATCTAGTTGATTCCACTATTCATCATAGATTTGAAGAACAGTAGAGCACGAATATGACAGTCATATCAACACGATCAACAGCATTTATGATTGAGAATTTATTATCATCATCAGTAAATAATAAAAATAAATTAATCGAAAATGAATTAGTAGTAAGTTTATCTTCGGATTTTCTTTTCCTTTCTAAACAAAAAAAAAATAGGCTCAATCATCCGATAATTGTATAAATAATAATCGACGTAAACGTAAATCATGGTCATGTGATGTATGTGGCAAAATGTTTGATCGACCTTCACTTTTAAGTCGTCATACACGAACACATACAGGTAATTAAAAGAGATTTATTTTAATCACTGAAATATATGAAGTGTATATCTATTTTCAGGTGAAAAACCACATGTATGTCCAACATGTGGCAAGGCTTTTTCAACATCATCTTCACTTAATACTCATTGTCGAATACATAGTGGAGAGAAAGTAAAAATATTTAAATTCATTCATTTTTATTATCTTAACAGTGAGAATATTATTTAGCCACATTCATGCGAAATATGTGGTAAACGTTTTACAGCAAGTTCAAATTTATATTATCATCGTATGACACATACAAAAGTATAGAAAACTTAATATAATAATAAATAATAACTAAATCTCTTAGAAAAAACCGCATAAATGTTCTTATTGTGATAAGACATTTGCAACACCAGGTGATCTTCGTGGTCATACTCATATTCATCAAGGTACATGGCCATATCGTTGTAGTCAATGTTCAAAAGGTTTTTCCAAACAGACAAATCTTAAAAATCATTTATTAACTCATACAGGTATAATAGAGTCTATTCAGTAGCGGATCTAGGAATTTGGAAGGGAGGGAGGGGGGCGATTTCGGCTAAAAACTATTTTTGAGTCCAATCGAAGTAGTGTGAACCTATTTTTTCTGTAAAAAATTTTGAAGGGGAGGGCAACCGCCCCCCTAAATCCGCCACTGAGTCTATTTTTTTTTAAATTTTGACATTGGTTTTTATTTTCAGGCCGAAAAGATTATAAATGTGATGTATGTGGAAAATTATTTTCTCTTCATTGTAATTTAAAATCACATCAAAAACTTCATCGAAATATTCAAAGTAATTTCTAATTATGAACAACAAAAAAAGAACTTTTTATTATTTAGATACTCATGAACATGATGAATCAACATCAGCAACCAATGATCTATCATCTCATCAATTTTTTTCAAATAAATTTACTGTTGATCTTTTTCATTTATTTACTTCTGTTCGATCTTATCCATAACTATCTTCTAGTCAACAACAAAAAAATACATTTTTCTTCTTCTGTTCTTTTTATTTGAAAATAAATTTTAGTAGTGATTTAGCTAAACATATATGTATTATTGTTCGCTACACTTTAAACAATCTTGCATTAGTTTTAAATGTCCGGTTATTGGATTTAATTGTTTATTTGTACCAAATAAACCAACGCATGTTATTGAACCACTTGCAATTTCTGTCATACCAGCATCTTCAATCAGTGCTGTAATTATCGATCGATTTGCTTTAGCACGTGAGTCAATATCAATTAGTTCTTCAGTTGAATTACCACGAACAACAATTTTTGTTTCGCCAAATTCATGCCAATAATTTAAAGATTTTGATCGTTTTTCTATTAATTTTTGATATAAATCAATTGCACAATGAGCAACTTGTGCAGCCATTTTTCCTGAACTCATTCGAAGAGAACCATTTACAACAAATAACATTTTATATGGTTCTTCACATACATCCATTTCATCAGCAGGAGCTGCTGTAGGCTAAATCATAGAGACGCGTTTTTTTCTTTATAAATTTGATATTAAATGCAGGAATACTTACAAAGTTATATACTTGAGTAGATTGCTCGGTATTGGTTTTATTTGTAGTTGAATTTGATTCACCAAAAACAATAGCTAAAGCTTCATCTAAACTTCGATTATTAACTTGTCTTAATGCCTAAATAGAATATAGAAATAATAGATTCATTAGTTTGAATGAAGAACCTGTTTAGCTGTTTCTTGCGGAATACCCATTTCTAATAAACTAGCAAGAAATTGTTCATTTATATCGTTGTTTGTTGAAGAGGAAG